TTGTCGATGGAGATGGAATCATAAGAGTCGGAGGTCGAATCAAGCGTTCGTTGATGCCTTTTGATACAGTGCATCCGATAATTTTGCATCATACTTGTCGTTTCACTCATCTATTGGCTTTGGAAGCACACATGGAAACGTCGCATGGAGGTAATCAATTGTGCATGCAATACATTCGTCAACGGTTTTGGATTATCAACGTTCGTAAAGCCATCAAGCGTGTCACACTCAAGTGTGTGCCATGCTACTCAACTCATCTGAAGTTTACCTGAAGACAGAGTCACGTCTGGTTTTGCATTCGAATCGGTTGGAATCGATTACTGTGGTCCGGTGACAGTTAAAGAAAGACTGGGTAGAGGAAAGAAAACGTACAAAGCGTTCATCGCCGTATTTGTGTGCATGAAAACGAAAGCAGTGCATCTTGATTTGGTCACAGATTTGACAACAGATGCGTTCATGGCTTGTTTGTCGCGTCTTATTTCGTTGCGCGAGAGCGTCCGTGAAATCTTCAGCGACAACGCTACCACATTCCACGGGGCATCAAATGAGATGAAGTTGGTATTTGAACATTGGGAGGAAGTGGCTGATGAATGCCTTCGTCTTAAGCGCATTCGATGGAATTTTATCGCACCATTATCGCCGAATCAAGGAGGATTCTGGGAACGAGCCGTGAGAAGTGCGAAGAATCACTTGCGTCGTGTTATTGGCACGCAAATATTGACATTCGAAGAATTTGCCACTGTTTTAGCATCAGTTGCAGCATGTATGAATAGTCGCCCACTGATTGCTCTTGATGTTGACCCAACAGCATGCAAAGCGCTCACACCAGCTCATTTGGTCGTCGCTGGTCGACGGCTGGTTGGGCCAATACAGTTTGATTACACATCGATACCGGACAACAGATTGACGCGTTGGCGTCTGATTCAAAAGATTGCTCAAGAATTTTGGTCACGCTGGCATAGTGAATATGTAACGCAGCAAATCGAAACATCGAAATGGAATGAGAAGAAGGAAAACATCGAAGTTGGAGACATTGTGCTCGTCAAGCATGACAACTTACCACCTACTCACTGGCCGCTGGCACGAGTGATTACAACATTCCCAGGAGATTATGGATGTGTGAGAAATGTTGAAGTGAAACTTGGATCGTCTACATTCAGACGAGGAATCAACAAAATTGCACGCTTACCGATCGATGATGAATGATTTAGTTTTAATTCATTGTACAAATCATTTTCATATTGTTACTTTGGCTTGCTGCTTCTCAGCTCGTCTTTTCTAATAATAAAATATTGTTGTTCATTTAAATAAATTTAATTTCGCTCCGCAGCGGGGGCAGTATGTTCGGAAACGAACACTTTATAAACGTTCAAATATTATACAACAATTATTATAAATTGTCACATCGCATCGCACAACACCGCGACGGTGACATTTCTCTGCCGCCTTTTTCATTACGTTCAATAAAACCAATCAGTTAACTAAAATCATTCCGACCGGCCGGTCAGAGTTTTCTTGTTTACTTTATGTTCATTCTTTCAGTACTCAAACAGTCCTCACTTTTGAAAATCGATTCTATCTAGTGTAAAATCGGTATCCAGAAAAAAGTGAGGAATAAAAAAAAAAAAAAGGTCCTCACTTCTGAAAATCGATTATATCTTGTGTCAAATTTTCCAAATCGCTGGGGGGGTCCACATTTTGGAATCCTAGAGGGGGGTAAAATCGG